GACCCTCTTTCAAGACTGAAAGATAAGAACTTGAAAGTTGTGTCCGAAGCCTGGTGTGAAAAGCTTCATCCTAGCACCACAAACTACAGTGAATGGCAGCTAATTAGTGCCGGGAAGCTGGCCCCACAGTTAGGAACACTCATTATTCAGAGGGCTGGAGTTGGAGTCCCAGCACCCACAGGTGAGTCAACACTTCCTGTAACTCCAGTTCCAGGGATCTGATCCCTCTTCTGGCATCCGTCAGCACTGCACATAGACATGCAGGCAAAACATCCATATACACAAAAATAAATCTTTTTAAGCCAACTACATAAACCCCTGTATACATTATCTTGCCTGGGTACCTTCACTGCAGGGAAGAATGTATCAACTCAAGGCTACTTTGTAGATCTTGCATATGTACCAAGTATTTTTGCCCAGGGTGGTGGAGGTAGGGGAGCAGACTAGGCAACAACTACCCACGTCTCTAAGGTCCCAATGACAAACCCAAGTTTGATTCTACCAAAGGTCCCCCACCCCCCGGGGAACCAGGGAGTTTGTTGGGCATACTCGCAGAGCCTGAGTCCAAGGTCACAAACGGGAGCGTGGGGAAACCCAAAGCAGCCTCACCGGAAATGAGATGGATGACCTTCAAGGCTACAGAGATGGAGCCCCCTGCCTAGCCTTCCTTGGCCTGTCTATGCTAGCCCCTTCCCAAGATCCTGAGGCCACGTGCAGTTAGGGCAGAAGTACAGCTGCTGGGGGGGGGGTGGCTGCACAGGTGGGTCCGGTGACCCCCATCTCCTCCTGTGAGGGAAGGTCAACAGTCAATGAGCTCAGCTAAAATGATCTTTGCAAGCAGGCCTGAAATGGAGGCAGTTTGGCTTGGAGGACAGTCCATGGCACATCCCACCAGCTCCAGCAAGACTCGCCTTACAGGCAGTGATGAAGACAGCGCCGCAATCATGCCGGGCCTCTCCTAGGCATGTTTTAGCTGGGTCCTTGGTCCCTGCTGCTTCACAGGTGAGGAAGCTGAAGCTTGGGGGAATACAGTGTTTCACAATGTTCGCTCCTAGAAGACTTCAGCCAGCCAGCATGTCCTGACAGCAGAGTGCCTGGAATAAGATCAAGGGACTTGAACTCTACACGGAGTAACTGTAGCAGCAGAGTAAATACTGTTTATTCCTTCTCACAATGGGAATGGCTCTTTAGCCTCTTTCTGCTGGATTTCAGGGCCGCTGTTCTCATGTCGTTGTGTGCATGTGCACTAGCGTGCAGGAGGCGCTCAGAGAGCCCCTTCAGGGAGTCCCTTTTCCTCCACCGGGGTTCTGGGCACAGAAAGCTCATATATGCTTTACCGAGCAAATTGCTGGCCCATGTTTTCTTATTTTGAGACACAGCCTCGCAACTCAGCCCAGGCTGACCTTGAACTTGTGTTCCCCCTGCCTTCACCCCTCAAGCCACTAAGATCACAGGTGTGCATGTCCACACTTGGCTACTCTCTTGTGTTTTCTGTTTTGGTTTTTTTCCCCCTGACTTTCCTTGGCCCAGGCTTTTTTTCATTCCTCTCCGCCCTGATCCCACCAGGCTGTGTCCTGCCGCAACCCTAGTCCCCAGCATCCCAGGGCTCAGAGGGAGCCTCGGTCACTCCTCCAAAAGCTGGAGTGTATCTTCTATCTTCAACACTGCAGCAAGCCAAAGCATGAGCCACCATCCCAGTAACCCCGGAACCCAGGCCATGAGTTGTGGCTGCTCCCTGTCCTTCCAGGTGCCCAGCTGTGTGTGACACCAGGCGTTCACTCCCACGGAGTCAGAATGACCGTGGCTGAGTGGAATCCCCTCTAATCCTCTGCTTATGATGGATGGTCCCTCCTGTAACATCCCCAAAGTTGAGCCCCCCTCATAGTGAACCCACTAAGTCTCAGTCATCACTGAAGATGACGGGCCCCAGACATGCCTGGGGACTAAAGAACAGACAAACACGAACTGAAAAGAGCCCAATGTGACTGATAAGATGGCTCCATGCTGAAAGGACAGAGACCCGAGGGGCTAGCAGGGCATCTGCTAGCTCAATACCTACTGTCCCCAGTCTCATGCTTGTATGCTGTCTCCTTGACTCCAGGGGCTTTCCCTCCCTATCACGGCACAGCCAAGACCAAAGCTACAGAAGGAACTTCATCTGCCTGGGGTAGCAGCGAACAGATACACCCTGCCACTAAGCTTTAAGGATATCCCAAGACTTCAGCCTTGGAGCCTCCACTAGAAGATGCCTTGTGGCTGTGCCACTAAAGGATTGGCAGGATGGTCTAGGGGAGGCGCTTCCAAGCACGGGGCCCAGTGATTGAGTCTTCTGGTCCTTGCTAAGAGTCTATGAAGAAGTTCCACCTGGCTAGACCTCCAATTTCTGATTACTCAAAGTCTCAAAGTGACAGGCTAGTGATTTCTAGGGCTCTTGATGACTGTAATGAATATACCACATTGTTTCCATTTGGGGGAAGGAAAGGTCTTCAATGGAAAACAAACTTGTACCCACGAGCCTGGCACCCTGCTCTGAAAGGCTAGGCCCTGAACAGATACAGGCTCCCTGCCCACAAGAGGACAGTGCCCCTTTAAAACGCAGTCTACCTCAGTTAGGCTGTTGCTATGTATAGATCCAACTTCCTTAGCAACCACCTGGCTTCTTAAAGGGGACTTGGAAACAGTGATTGCCATCGGCCATGGCTCCTAAAAAGAAGCTGAACAAAGGCGGCAAAGAGTTTGAGGGCAAGAAGAGGAAAGGGGGCAAGAAGGACACAAGTGCAGGCGTGAAGTCTGGGGAGTCCACCCTGGTGGAAGAGCTGAAGGAATTCTACCACAAACAGATCCAAGACCTGGAGGACCGGCTGGCCCGGTGGGTGGGTGGCAGGGATGCTAGTGTGCCAGGCCAGAAGCGCACACAGGCTCAGACGGGGGCCTTAAATCTCGGTTCTGGCCTCAAGTAAACAGGTACCACCTTAGAAGGTGAACGGATCTCCCCACCCCTTCTCAGCTCCAGAGCTTAGCTTGTACACGTTAATAAGCGTCTCTGTCCCAGGTAACCCCCTCAGCCCCTACCTCAGCAGGATGGGAACTTTTTGATTGATTGGCTTTTGCTTTTTTGAGACAGGGTTTCTCTGTGTAGCCGTGGCTGTTTTGACACTTCCTCTGTAGACCGAGCTGGCCTCAAACTCAACGAGATCTGTCTACCTTTGCCTCCCAAGGGCCGGTTCAGAAAGGATCTTAAGCATTTGTAGTTTAATTAGTGAAATAAATTAGAAATGGCTCCCCCTGGTGGCCAAGGAGGTCACTCATTTCCTCTTTCTTTATGCCAAGATCCAGTGTGTTTGTTTCTCTAGGCTGGGGCTGTTTCCCTACGCATATTTGCTTTGTTTTATAGACAGGGTCTTACTCTATAGCCCAGGGTAGCCTTGAACTCATGTTAATCCGCCTGCCTTAGCCTCCCACAAGTTGAGGTTACAACTGTGAACCACTAAAGGGCCCTAAATGGGAACTAAAGGGGATTCTGGCTGGGCAGTGGTGGGAGCACGCCTTTAATCCCGCACTTGCAGGGCAGAGGCAGGCGGGTCTCTCTGTGTTCAAGGCCAGGACAGGCTCCAAAGCTACAGAGAGAAACGCTGTCTGGAAAAATCAAAAAAAAAAAAAGGGGGGGGGAGGAGGGGGGTTTCTACTTAAGGCTGGGTTTGTATGAAAGGACCCTCTTAATATTTAATAATAGACATTGCATTTGCTCATTTTGCTTACTTTAAAACTAGTTTTGGGGGCTGAAGAGATGGCTCAGTGGTTAAGAGCACTGACTGCTGTTGCAGAGGATCCGGGTTCAATTCCCAGCACCCACAACTGTCAGTAACTCCAAGATCTGATACCCTCATAGAAGGCAAAATACCAATGGAAATTAAACAAAAGTAAATAAATTTTTAAAAAATCTAGTTTTTTAGGGCTAGTGAGATTGCTCAGTGGCACTTGCCGCTCATCCCCAGGACTCAGATGGGGAGCTAACTCCTGCATACAATGGCCACATGCATACACATACAAGTCAATAAATAAAATGATAAGAATGTAAAAATATAGCTTCTGCCATGTGGTGGTGGTGCACACCTTTAATCCTAGCACTCAAGAGGCAGAGGTAGATCTCTGAGTTCAAAACCAGCCTGGTCTACAGAGTAAGTTCCAGAACAGCCAGGACTACAGAGAAACCCTGTCTTGAATGCCCCCCCCCCCAGAAAAAGCTACCTTGCTGACTATGAAGCTCCTGCTCCAGCGCCAGAGTCACACTCCCACTTACAAAGACATGTAGGTGGCTGGGGAGATGGCTAAAGCACCTGCCTGCCATTCAACTGTGAAGGCTGGAATTTGAATCCTCAGCACCCATACAAATGAGTAGGTGTAATCCCAGTCCCTGGGAGGCAGAGATAAAGGGTCCCCTAGGAATGAACCAGCTAGACTGTGAACTGAATTCTGGGTTCAAGTAGAAGACCCTGCTTCAATATATAAAGAGGAGAGCCTCACTTTCCTTATCTATAAAGTGGGTATAATTATCACAGCATCTGCATCCTTATATGTCATTGGGGATCTCAGCAAATGTCAACCTCTGACCTCCATACACACACACACACACACACGTGAATATGCATATATGCATGAATACCACACATCTGTAGTAAGTAAACATATAGGGAAAATACAAGAAGGCCAAGCTGTTCATGATTGATGCTGCAGAAAAAATCTCAGCTGGTACTGAGTCTGTGCACTCGGGAAGCCCTCTGCTGTCTGTTTCCTTCCAGTCCCAGCAGAGAGCACAGCCAGATCCTGAGGCTCAGAGTCACCCCAGGAAGAAGAGGAAGCAGGGTGACAGCCCTGGCATCTCTGACTCCTGGGGAGGCTGAGTTTTCTCCCCACACAGGCACCCATACCCTAAAAACGCCTTGTACACAGAATTCATTCAGAAGACTTAGGAATACTTAAAACACTTAGGAATCAAACAACTCTCCAAATACTTTAATTCTCCCACTGAAACCAGTAAACACGGTATTCTTAAAAGGTACAAATGTCCCTTGACCTAACACAACAGATGGAACTGTATCAGGAAAAAGTTATTCGGTGCATAGTATCTGCCAAGCTGTTAGGTCCTGAGATAGAGGGGCAGGGGTGTCAAATGCAGAAGGGCTTAGCCAGCTTGAATGGGCTGATTGCAGGGACAGGCATTATGGGTAAAAGCCTTAACTTCCAGGTCACATTGGCTTGGGCTAAAGTTCTAGTCTTGTCGCTTTCTGGTTTCTTCATCTCCGGGCCTCAGTTTCCTAGTCTGTGCTGCTGGGAACAAATGCAAACTTCCTGTGAACCAGACACAGGTGGGAACATCCGTTACCACTGTGAGCAGAGGGCAGGCTTAGTCCCTACAGGACTTACATTCAAGTGAGGTAACCAGGAGCAGTGGCGCACACCTTTAATTCCAGCACTCAGGAGGCAGAGGCAGAGGCAGGCGGATCTCTGTGAGTTCGAGGCCAACCTGGTCTACATGGTGAGTTCCAGGACAGCCAGAACTATATAGTCTAAAAAAAAAAATTGAGTGAGGTAATAAATATAAAATGCTGGCTGGGGAGATGACGCAGTAAAGTCCCGACAAGCAGAACTAGAGTCCGGGCTCCCAGAAGCCTTGAAAAAAAAGCCAGGCGTGGCAGAGTCCCTTAAACTCTACTTCTGATGGGAGAGGACTGGTGGCTCTCTGGAGCTCACCGGCTCGCCAGCCTAGTCAAACTGTTACACTCTAGACTGAGTGAGTCTCGGCCTCGGAAACTAAAGGTGGAGGGCTATCAAAGAGACACTCAATATTGACCAAGGGTTTCTGTGCACTCGCATGTGTCCATAGGCACGCACGTTTGCACAGCCTAAGATTAAGGCCTCCAGGCATGAGGCTGCTTTCAGACCCTGCAAAGAGAAACTCCAAACGGCCCTTGATGGAAAGGAGGGTCTGGAAGAGCAGGTTCGATGGTGCCTGTGACCAGGCCTGGCAAGGCCTGACCCAGCATCTCCACCCCACCCCAGGTATCAGCGGAAGTGGGATGAGCTGGCTGTGCAGGAGAAGATCTTCCGCCAGGAGTTCGAGCAGCTGGCCAATAACAAGAAAGAGATCGTGGCCTTCCTCAAGCGCACGCTCAACCAGAGGGTGGATGAAATCACGGAACTCAATGACCAGCTGCAGAGCGTCCAGCTGGCAAAGGAGATGGAGAAAGATGCTTTCGAGGCACAGCTGGCCCAGGTGCGCCACGAATTCCAGGAGACCAAGGACCAGCTCACCACAGAGAACATCGCCCTTGGTGAGGGGACCAGGGGACCAGCCAGCACACCTGTGTGAATTGGCCACTGAGGGTTGCAAGGCCCAAAGCCACAGCTGTCACTGAGACGGGGCCTCACCTGGGGATTGGGGATAACAGCTTACAGCTACTTCAAACACTATCTGCCTTAACTGTCCATGCATTCCCAAGACCAGAAATGTCCCTTCCTCAGTCTGTAGATGAGGAAGCGCTTCAAAAAGATGGAGGGTCTTGCCTATGCCACCCACCCGGAAGGGGGCACTGAGACTTGTCTGCCCAGGTTCAGCTGCAGCGGTTACATGCCCACATTACTCTCCTGTGGGGAGGTATCTTGAGATGGGCTGAACAAGGCTTGGTGAGACTAGCAAAGTGGCGGGGCGGGGGCGCTCCAGAGAAAGACTATGTGTGTGCAGGGTCCGCTCCGTGCATGCAACCTAGTCCTGTTGGAACAGAAAGCACGGTGCGGGGAGGGAAGACACAGACAAAGTTGAGACCTCAGAGGGTGTAACTCATGGCGCTCAGACGCTGCTCCTCACCAGCCTGTGGCCCTTGATGGGTAGGGGGAAAGCTGGCTGCCCTGGAAGAATTTCGGCTGCAGAAAGAGGAGCTCACAGACAAGTACCTGGTGCTGGAGGAGCAGCTGTGGAAGCAGGAGAGCGAATACAAGGACTATGTGTACAACCTGGAGAAGAAGTCTGTGCTGGACAAGGACAGGTGGGCAGGCTGGGGACCTGCTGGGGTCCACACAGCAGTCTCCAGCTCTCACACTCTCTAGAAGGGCATCACACACTCCCCAGATTGTCCCCCAAACCCTGACCGGCCCCAGCCCTGAACAGTCTTGGTCACGTGTTGCTGTCCTTGCCTTTATTTAGTAAGTGTGTTTCAATGATTCAAATCCAGAGGCCCAGGGATTCCCTGAGGAAAAGACAGGGTTTCTCTGCATGTCTTTGGCTATCCTAAAACTCAGAGATCCACCTGCCTCTGCTTCCTAAGTGCTGGGATTAAAGGTGTGCACCACCACACCCGACTATGCCTGGATACTTTTAGATTCTCACCCAGAAAGGGGGTAACAAGACGTATACCCATCCGCTTGACTTCCTTCCAATCCCACCCTCCCGGTCAGGGTAAGGAAAGAGATTATCCAACGTGTAAACCTGGTGGCCACTGAGTTCCGCAAAGTGGCCACCAACCAGATGTGGGAGACGACCAGGCGGGCCATCCTAGAGAACAACAGTGTGACTTTGCAGCTGTCCTGGGTGACCCAGCAAGGTATGCAGCTGCTTCAGGAGAATGAGCAGCTCAGGAGCATCAAGGATAAACTGTACCACCAGGTAGAGCTGCTGGAGAACACCCAAGAGATCATGGCCAGAAACAGCAAAGGCCATCAGAAGGTATGACCACCATGCCCGCATATGAAATGAGGGTGGACCCCATGCAGAGCCAAGTCATGAGGTGGGGAGGGTTTGCAGCAAGGGCTCAGGCTTTCCTTGTGAGGATGCTGGCCCTAGCTCTGGAGTCTGTTTGCCTTACACCCCCTATAACTGAGTGGAGTCCACTCTGTTATCCAGAGGTGGTGCAGGCCTGCTGCATCTCCAGGAGGGAGGGAGGGGAGGCCATCACAACCTACAAGCCCTGGGATCTAGGACCAGACACCTGCCCACTGCTGCAGGTCATCCTCATGCTGATGGAGAAGTACCGCCAGCAGAAGCAGGGCACAGAGGAGGCAGAGCAGCTGCGCCTCCTGCTGTCCCAACTGGAACAGAACTTCCAGCAGCTACAGAACGACAACCAGACCCTGAGGTGACTTGGGTGAAAGCCTGCCGGGGAATTCCCATTTATAGCCTCATGGTTTGGCCTATCAGACAAGCTGAAGACCGGATTTAGGGCCCAGGGAAGAGGTGGTGCCGGCCACTGCCGGCAGATGGGGCCAGTTGTGGGCTTTTTCTTGTCCTGGACCAGGAGTGACAAGGACCAGCTAGAGCAGCAGCTGAGGGAACAGCGGGCGGAGGTGAATCTGCTACAAGAGAAGCTGACTGAGGAAAAGAAGGTTCGAGCCAGCCTGGAAACAGTCCTGGCCCAGGCCACCTCGCTCCTACAGGACATTGTACAGGTGAGCAAGCGGCAGGAGACACCAAGAGGCCAGTGGACCAAGACAGAAGTTGACCCCAAGAAATTTGGCCTCGGGGGCTAAGCTGAGAGGGCCTCTTTCCTGAGAGATTCAAGGACTGACTCTTTTTCTGATTCTGGACCTCAAAGATCCATCCAAGAGTTGGCTCTGACCAGGCGGTGGTGGTTCACGCCTTTAATCCCAGCACTTTGAGGCAGAGGCAGGCAGATCTCCGAGTTCAAGGCCAGCCTGGTCTACGGAATTCCAGGACAGTCAGAGATACAAAGAGAAACCCTGGGGGGGGGGGGGTTGGGTCTGATCATACTGAGGAGGCTGAGGCAGAATTCCAAATTCAAGACCTGACTGGGCTACAGATTCAGTTCAAGGCCAGCCTGGGCAACTCAGTGTCCTAAAATAACAAGGCCAGGTACGGCAGTGCACACCCTTAATCCTAGCACTTGGGAGGGTGGGTATCTGGGCCACTGGTCTTTAACCATCTTACATCACACCAACAGATGCGAACAGATGCAGAGGACGGTGACTTTGACGTGGTGTTCCAACTGCAGCGCAAGGAGATGCTACAGCAATTGCTGGCCCTGCTCAGCTCAGCTGTGTTTTCAAAAGCACAGTTCAATGTGGGTTGCCACGAGGACCAGCAGCCCCAAGGCCCACCCAAAGAGAGGTGAGCAGATAGCACTGTGAGGGACTTAGCAGACCCTGGCTCTCCAATCTCTCAGATTCTCAGCCTCCTCTTGTGGAGATGGAGGTGATAACCCCAAGTTCCTTCCCACAGCCAACTCAGCACCCAGGTATCCAAGAAGGCGGCCACGTCCCTGATACAGAAGCTCTCCGCCATCACAACCTACAAGCCCGGGGATCTAGGGCTAGTGCCTCGTCGGGTCCACATCCCACCCAACCCTCACGACCTCAGGTTGCTCTCATATGTCACCAGAATGGGGATCTGCCAGTTACAGAACACTAATGAGGTAGGAGGAGTGCCAGGGACCCTAGGGAAGGACCCTGGGGACAGCAAGCTAACAGCTGGCCCTAGTTTTTCCATGCTGTAGCTGGGTGGCTTCAGGGACATGGTGAGACCTTGCTGATCCTCCCCGCCTATAAAATGGCCTGACGAAAACAGGCTAAGGCATACCTATGCTACCACTGGGAAAGGGTTTACGGGACCCTTCTGTCCCCACCCCATTGGTAAGGAATGGGTTAAGGGCTTAGTCCCTGGCCCCCAGGAGACTGCAGATTTCAAGCAAGCATCTTTTAATCTCACAGAGCTATCCATCTGGCACTCTCAGAAGATTCAGAAAGTTGACCCTTCCTAAGCCTTTCCTACACCGTAAGTAGCGCATGGAGAGACCAAGCCACCGCAGAAACAGACTGTGGTGGCCAGTGTCCCTCTTTCAATCTGCAAGTGACCTGAGGCAACCCAGAAGTTATATAAACAGTGGGTACCACAAGTGTCGTGGCAGTCCTGTGGCTGTGTCTGGGCTTCGGGGCATCGGCAGGCAGTCAAACAGGCAGATAGGTCCACTGGTCTCAGAGGCTCGATGGTGGCCCCTGGCTTCGAGTACGGATGTGGTCCAGAAGCAGGTCGGTGGCCTGATCCAGCAAGGGGGACAGTAGCTCCTGCTCCTCAGGGGAGAAGCAGCCCAGGACGTGGGCTTGCACCATACTAGGGTGTATGGGGCGCCCGATGCCTACCCGAAGCCTCAGCATTGCCTGTGGGGTGCCAGAGGAATGAGGGGGCCTTGGTGACGTACACTGGGGAGCCCATGCTGGCCACCCCCACCCAGGGCAGGGCAGAGGGGTAGACTCACACTGGAGTTCAGACAGCTAATGCAGGAACGGACTCCATTGTGGCCCCTTGGAGGGATTTGAGGAGCAGTTAGTACTTGCTGAGGCAGCCCCCTTCCCTTGCCCAGGCCTCCAGCAGAGATAGGCTCAGCAACCCTACTCCACCCCAACAGAGGCCAGCATCCCTACCCAAACCTGAGCACAGGTGAGCCTCACCTTGCGCTGCCCCCTAGCTTCAGAGCCAGCTTTCCCAGAGGCTTGTCAAGTTCATCATGCACCAGATAGATCTCCTCCGCAGTCAGTCCAAACAGCTCCGCTTGGCACACGGAAACACCCTAGTTATTGCCTATCTGCTCAAAGGGACTACTACAACGACCCCCACGTAGAAACAGGCTTCCAAGTCCTCAACGTAGTAAGCGGGGCTCACCAGGCACTTGTTACAGTTGAAACCTCTCTCTGCTCCCTGTGCCCTCTTACCCATGAAGCCCACAACTCACCAGCTTGGGCCACACTGCGCCCGTTGACATTCATGAGGCGCCGTGGCCGGAGCAGTACCAGCTGGGCATCCCCAAACGGGGCCAAGGCGAGGTCAGCAGCGCAGCGAGAGTCACGAGCCCAGCTCTCCGCCACTCCTAGTCGCCGCGCTATTTGCCCCAGCACCGCCATGCCCACGCTGTGCCGTGTGCCAGGCATTCCATGGTTCCCCAGGCCAGCCACCTGCAGGCAACACCATAGAAAACAGATCGGATAATCTAACATAGAGCCCTAAACAGTGGTCAGGAAACAGAGAAGAGAGCCAGGGTCAGGAAGGAGCGTTTAAGGGCCTGGGAACTCCTGGAGGCCCCACAAAACTGGGGGTGCCGCGGGAGGCAGAACTCCTAAAAGCTTGGAGTCAGTCAAAACTGCCGGTCACCTATTTAACTAAGAAGAAAAACTGACAAGAAATTCGGCAAGATGGTTCAGAAGATAGTGCACTTGCTGTCCTGACAACCTAGGTTCAATCCCCGGGACCCAACTCCCAAGTTGCCCTCTGACAGCCATACGGCACTTGCACGCACGAATAAATGTGACCTGAAATTTTACATGTTAAAAAAGGGGGCGGCTGACAAGGAACACAGTGGGGCAGCATCGGAGCCGGGTCACCCACGCCCCACTCACCAGCCACCGCTTCCCGGGGAACCGAGCCTCCGAAACGCACTGTCTCAAAGCCCAACTCCGCCGCATCCCGGAGCGAAAAAGGCCAGACCGCAACATACCGCCCCAATTCACGGCCAGGACCCCGCCCCTTGACGTCAGGCAGTCCTAAGCCAATAGCATCGCCGCCTGTCCAGCAACGACCAATCCGGGCCGAGTTAGGCTGCCTCCATGGTTCTGCGGGGCGGAAGTGGGCGGGGCGCGGGCCACGGAGGGCCTCTGCGTGCGTTCCAGGTCGTCGCGTCACCCTGTACCACCCCGAGCCTTTGCTCAGCCTTCGGCTCGAGCGCCGGCTGATTCTCCCCTTGACGTAGGCTACAAGTAATTTTCTACAGACTCTCGAGGCGTAGCTAAATGGGCGGAGCCTCTGGGCATCCTGGAGCAGGTGCCTAGCAACAGCGGAGACAGGGAAACCAGGGAGTTAGCTCAGCCCGAGGTCAGTCTGGAAACCGGTCATGACTGACCACAGCCAGGTGAGGGCTGGGGTGAAGCCGGTCAAGCCCTTCAGGAAAATGTGGGAGGGGAGAAGGGTGACTGGCCGCCTACTCCCAAAGGAGAGATTTTTAATTGTTGTTTTGAATTTTCAAGACAGGATTTCCTTTTGTAGCCCTGGCTGCCCTGGAACTCACTCTATAGACCAGACTGGCTTTCTAACTCAGAGATCCGCCTGCCTCTGCCTCCTGAATGCTGGAATAAAGGGCGTGTGCCACCACCGCCCTGCTTGTTTTGTTTTTGATGGGGTTTCGTTATGTAGACTCAGAGAAATCTGCCTGCCTCTGACTCGGGTTGTTAATGTTGGAGCTCAGATGGTCAAGTATCCTGGGAGTCGGGAGCCAAGGAATACCACGTCACCGAAAGCATAGCAGTTCATAGCTGTGCTCCAGGTTTCCCCAGTGCAAGTGTAACAGCTGTTCCGAATGAAGTTTCCGCAGTGAAAGGGTTACAGTTCTGCTGCAGCCAAGTATTCTAGTGTGCCGGTCCAGTCCTGTGTCCTGTAACACCCCGCCCCCCCAACCCCATGTAACAACTCTGCTCTGTCAGGGGAAGTTTCCCCAGCGAAAATGTTACAATTCTGCTCCAACTCTGACCAAAGCTGTTACAGCTGGGCTCCCCGCTGGTAAAAATGTGACGTCACCCCTCACTACAAACCTCACTCAAGAATGGGGAGAGAAAATCCAGGAAAGTAGCTCCCTTTAGGATGAGGGGCAGCCGCAAAACTGAACAGGGTACAGTTTACATGAGGCTTCTTGGGGGGTGAGCAGAACTTTCCAGGGTGACTTGGGATTGGTGCACCTTTGTAGCCTGGTTCTGGGGCAAGCTCAGGGATTGGTGGGGGTAAAGTTCAGGTCAGGATGTTTTTCCTTGGCCCAGGTCTACTGAGAGTCTGGTCAGGGGTGGGGTGTGTTCTCTTGGCCCTTTTCATCCTACAATGGTATTAAAGGTGTGTGCCACCACCAACCAGCCCTGATTCTGGTGATGATGGGAAGTGAGAGGTCAGGGGACGTGTTTGCTCAGTGTGGCCTGCAGGGTGTGAGAGTCCCAGGGGATTTACAAGGAACCTTAAAGCCCAGATGTGGACCAGGGTCTGAACTGGGGTGCTGAGAATAATGGACAACTATATACAGCACAAGGAGAGAGCAGAGGGTGCGGGTGCAGGGGCTACAAGGACCCTCATCCCCCTAAGCTTGACCACAGGAGAGGTTGAGAGAGGCAGGGCTAGAGAAATGCTGGAACACAGCTGAATCCCAGACTGGGTGTTCCTTCTCCCAGGGGCCATTCCCACACCTCCTCCACCAGGCAAAGTCCCTGGGGAAAGAGTGGAGGTGATGTAGGGTGCCTCCTGAGGCCTTCCGAGCTTCCTGCCCAATTCGTTCCTAGGTGCCTGACAATGCCCACTCGAAGAAAGTTCCAAAGCTACGTGTTCATGCTCCTGAAGACAGAGAGAAGACCCTGCAACGTATCTTTGGGACAAGCCACGTGTTCTACAGAATGGATAGGAAACCAAGGACAGGAGGATCAACAGTACCTGTCAAAGTCAAAGAGTAGTGAGTGACTTCCAGGTCCCCAGCCCCAGGTTCCTGCTTCACACAACCATTAACATGGAGTACAGCCCTGGCCTGGACCGCTGTCCCTTCTGGGACTCAGTGAACACTAATGGATAAAAGGGTAAAAAGAGCCGGAAGGGCTCCAAGAAGGCCACCCTGCCCTCCCCGGAACACTGCTTGCTTCTCCAGCCTCTTTACCTCAACCCTCCCTCCTACCTGCCTTGCGTAGCCCTGAGAATATCTTGGGCTGGTCCAAGATCAAGGCCAGCCCCACTGCCTGAACCCTCCTGTCCTGTCCTCACAGCTATCACCATGGCCATCAGTGCCTAGAACAAGAGGACTGGGAGAATGCCGTGCTCTACTTCTCCCGCGCTCTCCACCTGAACCCCAATATGGTAAGAGGAGGGTGAGTCACCGCGGCCTCTGGAAGCCTCTCCCTCACGACATACCTGCTAGACCCTTCCTCCCTGGACCCCTTAAATTCCCCCCCCCCCGCCCCTGAGATAGGGTTTCTCTGTGTAGCTTTGGACCCTATCCTGGAACTAGCTCTGTAGACCAGCTGAATCTCACAGAGATCTGCTAGCATCTGCCTCCCACGTGCGTGCGCCACCACCGCCCAGCAAATTGTTTTAAGACAAGGGGCAGACGATGGAGAGGACACAGCAACCTGGGTCTCTCTGCTTTCAGGCAGACTTCTATGTTTTCCGTGCCGAGGCATTCATCCAGCTCTGCGATTTCTCCTCCGCCCTGCAGAACCTGCGCAGGGCCTACACCTACCAGCCAGAGAACAGCAAATACCTGGAGCGGCTGGCCTTTGTACTCTACCTACAGGTGCCTAGGCGGCTCCCGCCCACAGAGGAGTGCACACCACACACCAGCCATAGGCCTGCCCTCCAGCCAGTAGGGTGGCCACCAGCCACATGGAAATGTTGAGTTATCAAAAGTGGCAAGTATGACAACTCAATTTTAGATTCAATTTATGTGCATCGGTAGGGGTGTTGCTCAGTGCCAGGACACCTGCCTTGCATACAGGGGCCCTGGGCACCATCCTAGTACCAAGTAAAAGGTTAACTGCTCAACATTTGCTTTCATATTTATTTATACATTAATAATTATTTATCCAACTATTGAATCAGTTGTCTCTTTGTCCCATGTGGGCTCTGGGCATCAAACTCAGGTTATCTTCCCGGTGAGTCATCTCACTACCCTCAGCCCTCAAGATCTGTTTTTTGTTTTTGCTTTTTTTTTTTTTTTGACAGGTTTTTCTCTGTGTAGTGTTGACTGTCCTGGAACTTGCTCTGTAGGCCAAGCTGGCTTTGAGCTCACAGAGATTCACCTCCCTCTGCCTCCTGAGTGCTAAGATTAAAGGTGTGCACCTCCACCACCCAGAATTGTCTGGTTTTTTTTTTTTTTGAAGGGCAGATATTGGGTAGAAGTTGAGTTGGAGTATAACAGTGGTAGACCTTTTGCCTGGTACAGCAAGGGCCTGAGTTAGCGCCCTAATACCACAAGACACCAGATCATTCAGTTCTTACAAAGAAGCTTTGGGGCCAGTGAGAGGGCTCAGCGGGTGAGGGTGCTTGCCTCTAAGCCTGACAACTCAAATTTGATATCTGAGACCTACATGGTAAGAGAACTGACTCCTGCAAGTTATCTAGGCCTTCCACAAGTGTGCTGCAACAGGGGCCTGCCCTCTTCTACAAAATAAATAGAAGCACCAGGCGGTGGTGGCACGCCTTTAATCCCAGCACTCTGGAGGCAGAGGCAGGTGGATCTCTGTGAGCTAGTTCCAAGACAGGCTCCGAAGAAAGCTACAGAGAAACCCTGTCTCAAAAAAAAAAAAAAAAAAAAAAGTAAATAGCCGGGCGGTGGTGGCACACGCCTTTAATCCCAGTACTCGGGAGGCAAAGGCAGGTGGATCTCTGTGAGTTTGAGGCCAGCCTGGTCTAGTTCCAGCTAGTTCCAGGACAGGAACCAAAAGCTACGGAGAAACCCTGTCTCAAAAATCCAAAAGTAAAATAAAATAAAATAGATAGATAGATAGATAGATAGATAAAATAGAAAAGAGACACAGGCCAGACAAGGTGGCTCAGGTTTGCCATCCCAGCACTTCAGACACAGGCAGGAAGCTTGTTCTGAGTTCAAGGTCAGTGTACACTCCCCTGCGAAACTCTAGCTAACCAAACAAACACACCTGAGAAGAAGAAGGGGAGACTCCCCCGGGCACTCAGATAACTGTCCTGCCATCTCACTTCCTGTGTGACCTAGGGAGGGGAGTCACCTTGCCTCTCTGAGCGAGCCCCGCTGCTGTCATCCACCGTCCTGCTGTCACCCACACTGTCCCACTGTCTCTGCTGCTGTCACCCACACTGTCCCGCTGTGACTCTGCCGCTGTCATCCACCGTCCTGCTGTGTCTCTGCTGTCACCCACTGTCCTGCTGTGACTCTGCCGCTGTCATCCACCATCCTGCTGTCACCCACACTGTCCCACTGTCTCTGCTGCTGTCACCCACACTGTCCCACTGTCTCTGCTGCTGTCACCCACACTGTCCCGCTGTGACTCTGCCGCTGTCACCCACCGTCCCGCTGTGTCTCTGCTGTCACCCACTGTCCCGCTCTGTCTCTGCTCAGCTCTGCATCTCTTTCCATCCTTGTCTCTTGGAGTCTGTTCAGGTCTCTCCCTGTCCTCTGCCAGCGGTGGAGTCCCCAGAGCTGGAGCAGAACTGACAGTGCCCATCTCCTCAGGGCCAGTGCTTGTACGAGCTGTGTGACTTCCAGGAAGCCCTGTATGTCTTCTTGCAAGCCTCTGACCTCCAGCCCCAGAACCCTTCCTTCAGTTACCGCTGGTGAGTGTGGCGCGCTGGCCCCCCTCCCCACAGCCTCTTACTGTCCCAGGCTGAGTGCACCCCTGCCCTCCGCCCCCAGCATAGCCTGCCTGCTGGCCCTCAATCGACATCAGGACTGCCTCTCACTCATCACCAGGGAAGTGAAGCAGGGCAGGGCCAGTGCCGATGTCTACATCCTCCGGGCCCGGATCTACAACTTCTTCCAGAAGGTAGTGCACAGTGGGCAGGGCAGGCGTGTGGCCCCCAGTATGCCCAAAGATTATAGAGGAGGCAAGGCCAGCTGGAAGTCTTATCCCTGAGGACCCTGCCTGCTAAGGTAGCTGTCCTTCATCACTCAGGCCTGGCTCTGTGCCAGACTGTACTAGTCTCCATGGTAACCACAAAAGGGGTGGGGAATGAGTATGTCACACTATCCTTGTGTCTTCAGAGCTCTGGACTGAGACAGGGGTCCTGGGGATCCAAGCTGTGCTCCTCAAGCCTGTGTAGGAAGCGTCTACTGACTGAGCCCTCGAATGTGTGGCATCCAGGACACTGTAGACATTAGAGATGCAGAGTCCTTCCTGCCTTCCTTCCGTGTTGTTCTTTCTTTTATCTGGGGGAGGGGTAAGGAGGAGGGTCTTTCGGCTTTTTTCTGAGACAATGCTGTCTTGGAGCTCACTCTGTAGATCAGGCTGGTCTCTAATTCAGAGATTCTTCTGCCTCTGCTGGGATTAAAGACGTGGGTCACTAGGCCTGGTATCCTGCTTTCTTTTCTTATTTGCACAGTGGAAAGTTGTAAAGCAGGGGCACAGAGTGTACAGCTTGGGGACAAGGGATGCTGGGTAACAGGTTAAGAACATAGGCAGAGAGGAGGGGCCTGCAGTCTTCTGGGAGAGAGTGTTCCCTGGGGCAGGGAACCTCTAAGGGATGGCTCCCGCTGCGGAAACTGTCAGCTGGAGGAGGCAGAGTGCCAGAGGAGGGGAGAAGGGCTGAGGAGAGGGTCCTGCAGTGCTGATGCAGTGGGAGGGAAGAGCTCCGGAGCAGGGCAGCATTCCAGGTGAGCTGGGTGTTGGCAACAAGGTGGGGAGGGTCAGAGAGGAAGGAGGGGCCAGGCAAGGAGGGAGTGTGGCTGAGTAAGGCTACCCAGACAGGCTCTGGTCAGGGGCTGGGCTTCAGTGTGCCGGTGGTGACTCAAAGGCACGAGTATATCCATCATCACGCTTTATTGCTGACTCACACCCCCACTCGTGTCCTGTGTGTGGCTATGTCAAACCCAAGACTGCTGGGAACCCTTGGAGGAAGGTGAATGATTGAGCAAGGCCATACAGCCAGCTCTCCAGCCCGAGCCCAATCAGCCACTCCCTCCCACCATTGCCCAGTCCTCCCAGTGTCCCCTCCAGCCAGTTACCCAAAGGAGAATGGGGTGCTTGCTAAGAATGTGGAGCGACTGGCCAACCTGCACAGCAGCAGAAGGCAGGAGTCTGCCTAGGAATGTGCTCTGCCTGTACCCAGACAGGGGTCAAGGAGGTTCCACCTGGAAAGGAGATGTTAATGTTGAGGCTGGGGTGGATTTTCCCCCAGTGCTTCCTGCCTCGTTCACGAGGTGAAAAATGTAGAACAACATTGCAGGGGACACAGGAGGGATGGAGTGAAGTTAACTTGTCACCTAGAGGCCTGCCCTTCTTTACCCCCTACTGGGACAGTATCACCCCAGCATGCCACCTCCACCTGCAGCCCAAGCTCTGCTATCAGGACCTTCGAAGCGCCCTGCTCTTCGATCCCAAGCACCCACAGGCCAAAGGCCTACTCCAGATGATGGTGAACCAGGCCAAGCAGGCCTTTCAAGACGCTAGCATCCTGGCCGTGCAGGGCAAGCTGCACCGTGCACTGAAGCGTATCTGCTGTGCCATTGAGAACAACCCCCTGGACCCCAACCTCTTCCTCTTCCGGTACCAGGGTGGAGAGGGGCTGCTCCTCCTGCAAATCTGTCGTGTGGTCTCCAAAGAGTCTCTGGCCCTCCCCAGGCTTCAGTTTCTCTCTAGTGCCAAGAACCTTCACCTGCCTTCAGCTGGGGTCCTGGCACCATCGAGGTGGTCTCCCAGTACCCCAGCCAGGCCTGCTGAGTAGTTCATGCTCAGAGGGTATGATATTAGGGGTTGTATCTGGTCCCTCAAGAATTTGGTGCCATTCAATCTCCCTAATTCTGTGTTTTCTCATCTAAACACTTGGCTAAAGTGTGTGTGTACAAAGTCCTGAACAAGGCACGTGAGATGGCTCAGTGTGTAGAGTAGGTTGCAGAACAAGCCTGTCGACCTGAGCTCAAGTCCCAGGACCTGTATAAATATGGGTGGAGAGAACTGACTCCACAAAGTTGTCCTAAACATAGAGGCTTGCACATAGCTATTCCCAAAATGGGAAACTGTGCTTAAGAAGTAAAAGATGCTGGTGACTGCTGATTATCCTGGCAGCAACTTGGCCAGCACCAAATCAGGCCTGGGGCTTGAGGCATAATTCATGGCTATGGTCAAAGGTCATGGATTGAAGGCCCAGGGTGGGCAGTGGCTTTCTAGTCAAGTGGGATGCGTTGGTCCTTGTGTCCGCCTGCTACCTGCCACGTCCACCACCATAGGGGGACCATGTATAGACGGCTCCAGCAATTTGACCCAGCTGTGGAAGACTTCCTGAAGGCGCTGGACATGGTGACTGACAGCCAGGACAGCCTGGTGCAGAAGGCACAGCGCCAGCTGCTGCTGACCTACAACGACTTTGCTGTGCACTGCTACACCCAGGGCTCCTATCAGGAGGGCGTGCTGCTGCTGAACAAGGCGATCAGGGACGAGCAGAACGAGAAGAGTCTGTACATCAACCGTGGGGGTGAGCTGGGTGGTCAGGCCCCTGAGAACGTCCGAGGTGGCCAGATTGGGTCCTGGTTTAGCTACAGGAGTTGGGGATGCACTCAGTCCTTGCCCTCGGGTCCTAGACTGCTTCTTCCAGCTGGGCAACCTGGCCTTCGCGGAGGCAGACTACAAGCAGGCACTGGCACTGAGCCCGCAGGACAAGGGAGCCAACCTACGCATGGGTGTGCTGCAGGAGAAGATGGGATTCTGTGAGCAGACTCGCAGGTGTCTGGGGGTGGGAGGGGTGTGGCCAGGGAGGGTGGCAGGCAGGGTTCACCAGAAGCCACCTGCTAGTTGTCTTCTGGACAGAGGTTTTATTCCCATCGTCACCACAAATAGTTTCATTTGATGATATTAGAAATTAAGCTTTTTAATGAAAAAATTAAATATTCAATAATGTATGATTAAGAATGACTTTTTTTGTTTGGTTTTGAGACAGTTTCTTTGTGTAGCCCTGGCTGTCCTCGAATTAGCTCTGTAGATCAGGCTAGCCTTGAACTCACCGAGCTCTTCCTACCTCTGCCTCCAGAATACTGGGATTAAAGGCGTGTGCCACCACCACCAGCCTTAGAATGTATTTCAAAGGCCTGCCTACCTGCCCATGAGCCTCCTCTAGATTCCTCCAGGACTTAGGTTGATTTCCAGCACCCACGTGGCAACTCACAGCCATCTTTTACCCCAGTCCCAAGTGATCAGGCGTGTAAATGGTTCCCAAACATACATGCAGGCAAAACACCCATACACATTTTGAAAACTGTTAGCACTGGATGTAGTGACCCGCACCTTTATTTAATACTAGTGCTTGGGAGGCAGAGACGGGTGCATCTGAGTTTAGGCCAGCCTGGTCTACATATCAAATTCCAGTAAAGCCAAGACTACACAGTGCGACCCTGTTTTACCCTGTCTTGAGAAATAAAACAAAGCCAGGCAGTGGTGGTGCCTGCCTTTAATCCCAGTTCAAAGCCAGCCTGGTCTACAAGCTAGTTCCAGGACAGGCTCCAAAGCTACAGAGAGAGAGAGAGAGAGAGAGAGAGAGAGAGAGAGAGAGAGAGAACTATATTAGGTCCACCAAAGTTATAGTATGCAAGTGTCAGGTTCTTCAAGAGAGTGGCTGACAGGAGTGGGAGGGAGGAGTATGGTGGGCGGGATCAGAGGCCCCTACTTTTCCTTCACCTCAGTGCCCATCTCTTATGGGTGGCCCAGCTCATGGCAGCCTTGGGCATGTCCCTCAGGCAGTTCCAGACAGCGGAGGACCACTTCTCAACAGCCATCAAGCACAACCCTGAGAAGGCCCAGTACTACCTGCACCGGGCCAAGAGCCGACAGCTCCTGCAGAACATTTTGGGAGCCCGCCAGGATGTTGCCACTGTGCTGCTCCTGAACCCCAACTATCCAAAGGTGGGCTCCTACTGGGCCAGGAAGATTCACACCCTGGCCACTGTTAAATCAGTGACAGTGAGCTGCTACTCCTTCTCGCCCTCCTGCCCGCTGGCATCCCCTCCCTCCATCCACCCACAGGTACAGAGGGAGACTCAATACAGGCCCAGCTGCTCCGAGGTTAGGCCCTGCTCCCCATTAGAGAACGGTCTGTTTCTCTGGATCACCTGCTCCTTCGGGGGCAAAAGGCCCCAGTCTAGAAAGTTTGCAGAAGCCTTCCCTGTTGGTCCCTTGAGGGCAAGGTAGCACCAACCCCTGCTCACTGTGCCACCCCAGCAGATGGCACCACTGATGACCAACCTCTTTCCTGGCATGACTGTGGAGGACGTGCTTAAGAGCCAAGTGGCCCAACTGGCCAAGCTCCAGCTAAGTCAGATGCTAGAAAGTGGTCCGAAGGCCATCCACCCACAAAGCATTGTGATGTAAGCTTGTGGGACCTCTGGCTAGCCATGGGAGCAGGTGGGGACGCACAACTCCTCTGGTCTAGTTGCCTCATAAGGCCTGCACTGTCTGGTCCCTGAGGACAGCAGGCTGAATTCCAGAGACTGATCCAGGGCTGGGACCATGACTTGACAGGCAGAGGTTAATGGAACGTCAGAAAGCCCGAGCCTTGATGGAGTCCTGGAATCGGGAATATACTTTCACGGGGAACCTGGAAGAGGAACTGGCTACTCCTCCAACCTTGCAAGGGAAGACTGAACTCAAGAGAAGAGGAGCAGAGGATAAAAAGGTGAGTGGAACTTATGCTAGGGCCCACACCCTGGAGTCTAGTGTGGCTGACCGCACCTAAGATGGGGAGCCACAGCAAGGGTGCCCTGTGGTTGTGATGGTTTTCGGACTTGCTTCCCCTCTACCCCTCCAGCCCACAAGGTTTCTCTGTGCAGCCCTGGCTGTCCTGGAACTTGCTCTGTAGACCAAGTTGGCCTCAAACTCACAGATCTGCCTGTCTCTGCCTCCTGAGTGGTGGAATTAAATGCGTGCGCCACCACACCTCTGGCTCAGATTTGCTTCTGGAACTTCACTGATGGGTCTGAGGATGTGGCTCTGGCCCGAGGGCCTCCCCCAAAGAGATGGTGGGTGCAGCAGGAGCCAGGTGGAGAGGGGAGTGGTGCTAGGTTCACTGTAGAAATTCTTGGGTACTCACTCAAGAAGGCTGGACTACCGTGCAAAAGGCAATTCAAGTGATAAGGGGCTGAGGTGTGTGTGCCCTGTAAGCACAGGCAACTTCATGTGCCTGCGTCACACTACAGAGCCGGTATTCGATGCGAATACACTGGGGTTTATTGATTACAAGCTAGTTAACTCAGACTGTAAGGTTAGGTCCTGTCTAAAATGGAGATCTTTTTCAAAATGGAGTTTGTTCTGCCCCTTCAGTATATATAAGAACCTCCCCCCTCTCTGATAGTAAGACGATGCTACGATCATGCTCTGCTTGGGACACTGGCCACTTGTGCCTTGCTTTCCTTACAGTTTTTCATAGTCTTTTCATTGAGCCGGGCGGTGGTGGTACATGCCGTTAATCCCAGCACTCAGGAGGCAGAGGCAGGCGGACCTCTGTGAGTTCGAGACCAGCCTGGTCTACAAGAGCTAGCTCCAGGACAGGCTCCAAAGCTGCAGAGAAACCCTGTCTCAAAAAAAAACAAAACAAAAAGTCTTTTCATTGAATATAGCATAGACAAGTATACAAAGTGTGTGTGTGTGTGTGTGTGTGTGTCTTGTGTTATATCTATGCTGTCTGTGCAGAACACATGCCCACGTGGAGGCCAGAGGACGTTAGGTGTCCTTCCTTCTCTACCATGTTTCACCTTACTGAGAATAAGATAGCCTCAGAAACCCTCCTGTCTCCACTCCCTCCAGTGCAGGTGCTCCAGGCACACACAGCCATCGTCCCCAGACTGCACACAGGTGTGGGGTCTCCGCTCAGGGCTCACACGCGCATAGCAAGCACTCATCTCCTGCCTTTGTTGTTATTGCTTTGCAAGACAGGCTCTCACTACACAGCCCGAGCTAGCATGAACTCACTAAAATAGACAAAGCTGCCTTCAAACTCACAGAGAATGGCCTGCCTCTGCCTCCCCAGAGCTAAGACTAAAGGTGAGTGCCGCCACACCTGGCCCCTAGTCTGTTTTAGAGTCAGTGTCTTGCTGTGTAGCCCAGCTGGTCTAGAACTCGTTATGTAGCTTAGGCTAGCCTCAAACCTTCAGCAATCCTCCTGCCTTAGCTTCCAAAGTGCTGGGACTACAGGCATGAACCATCACACCCAGTTTCAAGAGTACAAGTCTTAGCCGGGTGGTGGTGGCACACGCCTTTAATCCCAGTACTCAGGAGACAGACACAGGTGGATCTCTGTGAGTTCGAGACCAGCCTGGTCTACAAGAGCTAGTTCCAGGACAGGCTCCAAAGCCACAGAGAAACCCTGTCTCGAAAAAAAAAAAAAAAAAAAAAAAGAGGGGGCTGGAGAGATGGCTCAGTGGTTAAGAGCATTGCCTGCTCTTCCAAAGGTCCTGAGTTCAATTCCCAGCAACCACATGGTGGCTCACAACCATCTGTAATAAGGTCTGGTGCCCTCTTCTGGCCTGCAGGAATACATGTAGATAAAATACTGTATACATAATAAATAAATAAATAAATATTTAAAAAAAAAAGAATACAAGTCTTAAATGAAAGGTTAGTCTACCATGGCCTCATCACAAGGTGAACAAACACATTTTCAGCTCCCAGAAGGCCCTTTGTGCATGCATCTTCCTAGGCCCTTGCCCCTCCCCACTTCTGCACAAGGCTGCTCCAATTCCTAAATCCTTTTTTTTTAAATGAATATGGCCTGCTGTCCTATCTCTGGTTCCTTTTATACAGTTCCCCTAAGGAATGGCTCACCTGGTCTATCAACCAGTTTTGCTGCCCACAAATATCAAGTACGGCTGTATTGTAGTCAAAGACATTGTGCAGCCGTCGTGAATGCGGCACCAGTGCCCTTCCTACTTCCCCAATAGGGAGAAGAGATGTGATCCATGTACCCACTCATCATTGTGGGCATCGTCTGTGGGAAATGCTCACAGGGGCACAGTGGAGAGCCCCAGGGGCAAGGGATGGCCAACAGGTGACCCCTGTGGGTGGAGGAGGCCACAGGTCCTGCTAGACACAAAACTTGCTTTCTCCGTAGCAACACGTGGCCGCAGCAGGCTGCTTATGTGCTCAGAGCTCTGTTCTCTCAACTATGAAATAGTCGTGGGGCTGGAGGGATGGCTCAGTGGCTAAGAACACTGGCTGTTCTTCCAAAGGAGCCAGGTTCAATTCTCAACACCCACATAGCAACTCACAACTGTCTGTAACTCCTGTTCCAGGGGATCTGATACCTTCATACAGACATACATGCAGGCAAAACACCAATGCACATAAAATAAGAATAAATAAATCATTAAATAATGTTAAGAAAAGAGAAATAGTTGTAGTAGAAGCATCCCCCCTGGGTGGATGGAAGAATGGAATATAAGAAATAAAGGCTCCTCAGCTCCAACACGCACTCCACAGGGCTCAGTTTGCAGAAGCCAGGCCCCATGTGAACCGATGTTCTACTCCCCTGCCTGCAGTCTTAGCCCCTGGGTGCTCCCATCCATCCCAGAGTCTGTGAGGAACTCTAAGCCAGGGAGACAGAGTGCTGGAATGGAAAAAAAGAGCTGGAGACATGGCTCAGTGGTTAAAAGGCAATACTGCTTTTGTAGAGGACTTGAGTGTGAGTTCCAGCACCCAGTGGACAGCTCACAGCAGCCTGGAACTCCAGCTCCAGGTTATCTGACGCCCTCTCCTGGCCTCTGTGGGCACCTGCACTCTTGTGTACCCACAATCACTTGTGCATACTCCCCCCCCCCCCCCCCCCGCCACCCGCCCCAGACAGGGTTTCTCTGTGCAGTTTTGGAGCCTGTCCTGGAACTAGCTCTTGAAGACCAGGCTGGTCTCAAACTCACAGAGATCCACCTGCCTCTGCCTCCCAAGTGCTGGGATTAAAGGTGTGTGCCACCACCACAGGGCATGCATACACATTTTCAAAAGCAGAAAATAAGCCGGGTAGTGGTGGCACATGCTGTTAATCCCAGCAATATGGAGGCAGAGGTAGGTAGCTCTCTGAAGTTCAAGGCCAAGGCTACAACAGAGAAACCCTATTTGGGGATGGGGGTGGGTGGGTGGGATGGCTGGACTGTCATGTGACCTTCCAGACACATAGCTGTGGGTGCAGCAAGGGTCTCCCAATCTGTAGCTCCCCAGCTTGACTCTTGCTATAGGTGAAGCCCCGCATGGTGATATCCCTGTCAGACAGCTACGTGGACCAGACCTCCTCGGGCTCAGTCTTCAGCAGTAAGTCCTTGAAGCTCCTGCTCAGCCTAATAGACCAAAGCAGCAGAGAGGTCAGAGGTCAAGTGCTGAAGCTTGGGTTCTGCCCTGGACAGCTCTGACCCTGAACGGTGACTCTTCAGTTAGAAGCAGCAGTGTAAGGACTCAGTGGGATGGGCACAGGGCAGGGACCGGTTACCCTCAGGCCAACTTCCCCCTTCTCCCTCCAATACCTGCCCCTTTTCCTCTCTGCTCCTTAGTGTGTCCCTGAACTAAGCCACACACCTCATGTATACCCAAAAGGTTTTGACTCCCAATTTTCCTATCACCAGCTAAGAGGGGATGAAAGGGCAAACCAAGAAAGCCGCTCCCCACGAGCCCTGGTGTGAGGTGGTAGCTGCGGAAAGGGTGTCCCCACTGCTCCTTGGTGCAGGGTGGTAGAATTAGTCCCCTTTATTCCATTTGGTTATCCTCTCCAAACTGCTCTGTGATGCTCCAAGTGCCCGGACACAGGCTTGTGCCTAACAACTGGTAACGGGTAAGTGGCCCAGTCCTTGTCCAAGTCAGCGAGGGGAACAGCCAGCCAAGCGCATGGGACTGGAGCTCAGAGGGCAGGGGTGTGATTAGACCTTTCAAGAGCTCAAGGCAGACCTCAAGGAGCTGAAGGACGGGCAGGAGGTAGCTATGTATAAGCAGGGGTAGGGATGGGCAGGGTACTGCTGGGTCAGAGTTCAGAGTCTGGTGGGAGAACAGGGCTGGGGAGAGCCTGGAGAACGGCTGGGTGGGTCAGCAGTGTTCAGGCAGCTGCTCGCCCTGTGTACAGCCCAGGCACAGGGAGGAGGTGGGAGGCTCCAGCTATGGCCTGGAGGTGGCCTGGAAGTCCCTTTTCCCGGAGCTGTCTGGAAAGACAGGCAGGCCTAACAGCTGCTCTCCACTCTTTGCCAGTCCTGAGCCTGAGCACCTCGGGAATGGACATATCAGACAGTCAGGAGTATAGGAGCTCTTCCAACACAGCTGTGATGTCTGGAGACTCAAGGCCTCAGTCCTCAGACCCCAGGAAGAACAGGGAGAAACTAGGCCTGAGCAGGGCCCCCAAGGTCACCCAGGCCTCTGAGAACCCAGACCAGAACTTGCATGAGACCACACCTGCCTATGGCCAAAGACGCCACTCCAGCAAGGCAGAAGCCACGCAAAGCCCAGGAAGACAACGCCCCAGCCAGAAATCCAAAGTGACAAAAGCCACCATGGGTCCAAAGCCTAGAAAGAACAGGCCTGCCCTGACCCCAAAGCAGAGGCTCAGAAGAGCCAAGGCTGTTCGTGCCCAGAGCTGGAAACCCAGGTCCCAGGTCCACAGCGAGAAGTCAACAAAGACTTCCAGCGAGACCGTTTCCCATGGCAGAAGCAGTAGTAGTTCCAGTGAGACCCAGGACCAGAGTCCAGGGCCCAGCAGTTCTGAGGACACCTCAAGCTCCAGTGAGAGCACAACATCAAGCTCCAGCAAGACCAACCCCCTCGCGGAGCCGAGCCTGCAGCTCCACAAAGCCCAGGATCCCCAGGACGGTAACCTGAGCTCCAGCAAGACCAACCCCCTCCGGGAGTCGAGCCTGCAGCTCCGCAAAGCCCAGGATCCCCAGGATGGGAACCTGAGCTCCAACAAGACTGACCCCGTCCTGGAGCCGAGCCTGCAGCTCCGCAAAGCCCAGGATCCCCAGGACCAGAACCTGAGCTCCAGCAAGGCGGAGCTTTCACCCACCCCTAGCCAATCTGCTGCCCCCTGAACGGGCCAATAAGAAGGCCTTGCTGAAGGGAGGGCAGATTTTCTCAACACCCTAGCTTTCAGAAAAGCTGCCTCCTCCAAGGGCAACAAGAAACCCTCGTCAATGTTCTGATCCCATGGCTATGTTTATTAACCCTGTTCTCTTGTATAAAATTAAAAACTGAAGTCCAGGCCCAGGTGGCAGCTCGAGCCCTCCATTTGGTCCAACTGTGAGGTTCCAGTCCGGCCTTGCTGGATTTCCAGGTCCAGCCACAGGCTGAGATCTCGCGTGGAACCCGGCTGGCAAGGTGTGCAGGTAAAAGCCGAGGATGGGAGCAGCCATGAGCCGTCATCCCTGAGGTACGGTTCACATTGAGAAGGCTCAGGCTACAGGGCAGTGGCAAGGCTATGAGGTTCTGGGGTGCCCAGGAGTTTCCTGGTGAAGATGCCTTCTAGGCCTTTCTTCCTCAGCCTGGCCAACACCTTTCTTCATCTTAATTCTGTGCTCAAGGTCCCGCTTGCCAGCCGGCTTAAAAGAGAACCCCTTCAGGAGACCCAGGTCTTTCTTGTTTGTCCATCTAGACAGAGGAGGCGGTGATGCCACCTGGGTTCTCAGAGGAAAAAGGTGACTCGGGAGGCCACTGTCTTGCAGCCGTTGGAGGAGAAGAGCTGTTCACCCTCCGGGAAGTAGGTGATGCTGTCCAGCACAGCCTGCACCACTTCCTCCTGGGGCTCCAGGCCCAGCTGAGCCAGTTCATTGAGGATACAGTGGCGCACGTGATGCCGCTGGAGTGGGAGGAAGGGTACCACAGCATCGATCAGGTGTTCCTCCATGTTGCCAGACTGCCAGAAGCCATCTGCAGGAAGGGCAGGTAGGCATGGAAGCCTGGTGAGCTTTTCAAGTCAGGAATTCATGCCCCGTAGGGGGTGGGGGTGCAAGCTGAGTGAGTGGGGCTGTTTCTCCGCTGCTTGGGTAACGGCGGGGTGTGCAGAGGCCTGGGGGAACAACTCTGATGCAATGGACACCACTTGGGACACTCAGGTCTAGCCCACGAGGATGTCCCAGAGCCAACTTACAGTGAGGGTTGTCCAACACAGCTCGGGAGACTGCTGGCTCCAGCTCCTGCAGGCTGATTTCTTCCCTGTCCCTGTGGCTGCGCCATGCCTCCAGGGCTACCTGGTTGATCTGCTCGCCACCAGTGTTGCTAAAATCACAAGCACCAGGCTGAGACTCATTGAGGGGCTAGAGGTGACACCTAACATGACTCAGTACGCAGAGTGGTCCGGGTCCTCCTCCTCCCAGTTCCCATGACAACCAAGTCTCTGTAGCATGCATGTGCCATGTACTTTGCAATTCACAGACCAAATGGGAGGTGAGGTTGACAGTGTCTGGCTACTGAAGCCATCCTCCTGACTGGGTCCAGAATGCTGGGTTACAAGTGTGCGCCATCCCACTCAGGCCACAGCGTCCTTTGATCTATGTATTTCCCCTTTAAGTAGCTTTCCCCAAGGGGCCAGTGGGGCATTAGCACTGATCGAGCTTCTGAAGCAGGGGGCAGTGCTCAAAGAAGCTCAGCAGTTTGGTCTAAGGAGTCATGGCTTGGGAACAGGGCCACTGGTCCTTTTCTCCCAGGCCTGTGTCCTCTCAGCTACCCAAGAGGGATGGCCAGGCAGGGGTTCCGCACAGCAGCAGGGACCTAAAAGTCTGAGGGAAGTCAGCCACCTCTGATGACAGTCGCCAGGGACAGTGTAAGGGGCTGGGAGCACAGGCCCAAGTTGGACAGCTGACCCTCTGACCAGTGTCCCCCCGTGCCTGCTCCCATGCTGAACCCACCTGATAAAGATGAAAATGGCTTTGCGATAGTTGGTCCCGTACACAACCCAGGAGGGGCCCAGGAAGGGCTGCAGGACCTCCGTCAGGCCAGGGGGCAGCTTGTCCACCTCATCGAAGAGGAAGAGAGACCTGCCACAGGCAGTGAGGTTCCCCTGGACCCAGCTCTTGAGTTCCTTCTGTGGGGGTAGAAACAGGAGTTCCAAAGAAGTGCAAGACTTGCCCCCAATCCCAAACTTCTTCCCAAGCCAAGAAAAACAGAGAGATGATCTGTTTCCAGAGAACACCAACCCCTTGAGACAGATGGTAAAAGCGTAGCCCAGGGAGGCTCCGAGACTTGTCCAAGGTCACACAGCCAATTAACAGGCGAGCAGTGTCCCAATTGTCAGTTCATGACAGCTACCGATTTGTATGACAAGGAAGCTGAACCTGCCCCACAGTGTTGACAGCTAAGATGGATCAGGAGCAGCAGTAATCAGAGCTGGCACCAAATGGGGCTAAGAGCTAAGGGGGCCCAAGAATGCAGACACAGATACTCTGTACTATCTGCCCTGTGGGTCCCTAGTCTCTCTTGATGCCTCCTCTCCAGTATCAGAGAGAACAAGCCCCTCCTTGACACCACGGTGAGCCCTGTGTGGGCTGGAACCTTCTCCAGGTTAGGGCTGGGAAAGGGGCCCGGACACACCCACCGTACCTTGTACTGCTCGGTGTGGCTGGGATGTGGGAAGTGGATGATGGGGGAGAAGTGGTGCACATGAGGGCTGCGGAGGCCACCCCGGAAGAGGTACTGTGCCAGCAGGGAGCTGACGTAGGACTTGCCAGTGCCTGTCCAGCCGTGCAGGGAAAGGACCAGTGGTTTGCTGGGGGCCGGGTTCTGGATAAAGGCCTTCAGCGACTTCCCCACCAGGGCCTTGGCCAGATGCTGGCCAGCCAGGTGCTGGGCCAGGTCACACTCCAGACCTAGGGCCACAGATAGAATGTGTATCAAGGCAGATGGCAGGGCTGGTGACTCATGTCTGTAATCTCAACACTTGGGAGGCAGAAACAGCAACAGTCCAGCTAATCAAAGGCTAGCCCGGGCTTACGGTGAGTTCCAACACGCCTTTAATCCTAGCACTTGGGAGGCAAAGGCAGGGAATCTCTGTATAGGCCAGTTTGGACTATACAATGAATTCCAAGCCAAGGAGACTTACATGGTGAGACACTGCCTCAAAAAAAAGAGTAAATAAAGATAGGAAGAAAGAGGAAGGAAGGAAGGAAGGAAGGAAGGAAAAAGAAAAGGAGGGGAAGGAAAGGGAAGGGAAAAGAAAAATCAGCCGGGCATGGTGGCACAAACCCTTAATCCCAGCCCTCTGGAGGCAGAGCCAAGTGGATCTCTGTGAGTTTGAGGCCAGCCTGGTCTACAGAGTTCCAAGAGAGTCAGCACTATGTAGAAAACCCTGTCTCAAAAACAAAAAAATTGCCGGGCGATGGTGGCGCACGCCTTTAATCCCAGCACTCGGGAGGCAGAGGCAGGCGGATCTCTGTGAGTTCAAGACCAGCCTGGTCTACAAGAGCTAGTTCCAAGACAGGCTCCAAAGCCACAGAGAAACCCTGTCTCGAAAAACCAAAAAAAAAAAAAAATTGCCCCTCGACCGAAGAATGGATAAGGAAAATGTGATACATTTACACAATGGAGTACTACACAGCAAAAAAATTAACAAAATGGATGGAACTAAAAAACACTATTTTAAGTGAAGTAACCCAGACCCAGAAAGACAATTGTCATATGTACTCACTCATAAGTGGTTTTTAAACATAAAGCAAAGAAAACCAGCCTACAAATCACAATGCCAGAGAACCTAGACAACAATGAGGACTCTAAGAGAGACATACATAGATCTAATCTACATGGGAAGTAGAAAAAGACAAGATCTCCTGAGTAAATTGTGAGCATGGAGACCATGGGAGAGGGTTGAAGGAGAGAGGAGAGGAAGGGAGGGGAGCAGAGAAAAATGTAGAGCTCAATAAAAAAAAAATCATTAAAAAAAAAAACAGCAAAAAAACCCAAACAAACAAAAAAGCAAAAACAACGGGGACTGGAGAGATGGCTCAGTGGTTAAGAGCACTGACTGCTCTTCTAGAGGACCGGGGTTCAATTCCCATATGGCATCTTACAACTGTAACTCCAGGATCCAGCACCCTCACACAGATATACATACAGGCTAAAAACACCAATAAAATGATTTAAAACAAACAAACAAAAAAAAACCCATCAAGGCAAAGAGGAAAGGCATGTCTGAGGCTTCTGGAGATATTTGCTCAGGGAGACCGAGAAGCCACTCAGCAAGAGCCTTGCAGCAGCGCCCCCTCGCGGGGGTTCCCTGGATTGCACCAGCCCCGAGTGAGCGCCAGCCTCAGGTACAGCCCAGATCCGGGCCGCCGGCCGGTTTCTCCCCCGGCGACAAGTCCCCTCAAGGGAGGCCTTCCATAAGCCACCACGCGCCCCTCTTCACAGGGCACCCACAAACCCTTGCCTCGGGACTGTGCCGGAGGCTCTCTGATCCCCCCCCCCGCCGGCCCCGGCTGTAGCCGCTTCGACCCCAAGCGAGCTACCGGCTGCCCACCCCTCCGCCTTGGCTCCCACCCCTCTCACCCGGCAAGTCTGGCCTGAAGTCGCATTCGCAGAACGAGCTGAAGCTGCAGTACAGAGAAGCCACGTCCCAGGCGGTGGTGGTGGCTAAGACCAGTCCGAGCAGCCCGAGGATCGAGCCCCGGGGCAGGTAGCCTCGCCTAGCAACAGCCATCCGGTTGAGTCCCGATTTCGGCCTGAGGCCGCCCATCGCCTGGACCTGTAAACTACAGCTCCCGGTGCGCACCGCTCCGCATCAGCCACGCCCACTGCCTACAACTCCCGGCTCCCCTTTCTCGCGTCTCTAAAATCCGGAGTGGTCTAGTAGCAGTACCAAAAATTGGCCGCCAGGGGAAGCCAGCGAACCGCCTAATCCGAGGCTGTAGCCCGCGTTTCGTGGTCAAGGGTAACTAGGGGCCATCACTCTACCTCAGAAAGAATAAAGGATTGCTAAGAGGGTGACGCAACGATGATAACAAAAACTTGTGCGGAACTTTACACTTTGCTGGGCGCCTTTTCCAAGCTCTTTAACAAAGCGTGCTAACTTAGGTTTTCTGAGAGCGTTTCTCTGCCTGTCAGGTGCCATACACATATCATGTAACAACACCTGCCATATCCAGGGAAGTGATATTCAGTGAGATGCAGTCACATTAAGTGTTTTTGCTCAGAAGATAGTCAGCAGGGCTCGCGAGACGGCACAGTGGCTAAAGATGCTTGTCACCAAGCCTGAGGTCAATCCCCAGAGCCTGCCTGCTGGGAAGAGAGAAGCATTTCCTGCAAACTATCCTCTGATATCCACACGTGCATGCAAACACAGACTAAATGGATAAATAAGTAAATTAAAAGGCAGCAATTTCCTAAGTCTGGGTAATTCAAAAAAATGTAACTTTCCCTTTTCTTCCTTCCATCTGTCACATTTTTCCAGACAAGGTTTTTCTGTGTAGCCCTGGCAGTCCTGGAGCTCGCTCTGTAGATCAGCCTGGCCTCGAACTCACGGAGATCTGCCTGCCCCACCTTCCGAGTGCTGGGATTAAAGGTGAACAGGTTCCTGAGGTCTGAGGCTTGACCTAAGATCACCGTCAGCCTATACTTCCCCATCTGCTGGCCTATTCTGTTATGCCTCAGGAAAAGTCCCTTCGCCCACTACGTGTCAGTCTCTACAGGAAACGGGGATCCTTTTTCTGAAGATTTTTTTTTTTTGGAGGTGAGGGGTCTTATGCAGCCTAGCCTGACCTCTGCCTCCAAAATGACAGGATTAAAGGTGTAATCACCACACCCAGTTGAAAGTTTTTTTTTTAATGTGTATGGGTGTTTTGCCTGCATATCACGCGTGTGTGGTACCCACAAAGGCCAGAAGGCACCAGATCTCCTGGGACTGTAGTTAGCATTCATGAGCCACCATGTGGCTACTGGGAATTGAACCCGTGTCCTCTAAACCATCTCTCCAGAACCCTAACTTCAAGGAGCCCTCCTAACCCAAACTCTGGGCTTCTTGCTTATTTATGGCTTCTCTGGACAGGCCCTGAGCTCAGAGGAGAGTGAGGAGTAGGCCCCTACTTCCTGCACTGGCTTGGACTGACTGCCTCCCTGCTAATGCCTGAGGTCCTGGAGTCAGGGAGTGACCGATTGATCGTCTGCCGTAACCCTGGTTGGCTGTATAATATGGAAAGTCCTTGGTGCTAAAGTTGGCTGAAGTTTTTCACCATTGACATGAGGAAAGTGCCTCCTCTTAGCCAGGACAGAAGAAGGTCATTCAAGTTTATTGTATGAAAGAGAAGGCGCGGCTTCTGTACATATATTTACAGGTCAGACTTATTTACAGCAAGATGGAGAGCTAGAGGAAGGCAGAGGGACGGGAAGCCTCCCCTGGCTCAAAAACAGGGCACCTCGGCGGAGATGGGAAACAGCGGAAGCCGGTGGGAGGGACAGAGGTCCCTGTCCTTCAGGAAGGGATACTCTGTGTGTGTCTGATGGAAGGATGGAATTCCAAGTCCATTCAGAACCCTGGAAGTGCAAAGGGGATCCTGGAGCTGAACCCAGAACATTCTTGGGCCGATCACAGTGTTCCTGTGGTGTCTGGGGAAAGTCCTGAACCCCTCTGCCCCCAATGCTGCCCGCAGCTGCAGAGAGGCAAGTTCTCCGGGGTCACAGCTCGCTAGAGCGGATGACAGGTTCCAGCTTGTGGGACAAGGCAGTGAGGACTTTTTCAAACTTCTCATAGCGCCGGGCCTGGCTGCTGCCGGCGCCCTGGCTGCCCCAGAGGAGACGCATCTGGAACTCCGTGCTGAACACTTCCAGCAGCTCCGGCCGGGCCTGGAACCCTGTGGGGGAGAGGGAAGAGGAGGGGACACATCAGGGGTCTGGAGAGGGGAGACATGGCAGGGGTCTCGAGGAGGGGCCTCATTCTTCAGGGCCCTGCTCATAGGAACCTTTCCCTAACCCAACAAAACACAGCGGAGAATACGGCTTGCAGTTGGCACCTAGTCTTCCTTCAAGTATTTGCAACCTGGGATCTGGTAAAGACTAGGTGGTGATTTGTGTTTGTGTGTGTGCAGGTGGCACCGGGGGTGGGACCTGGGGCTTTGTGCGTTCGTTCAAGACACTCAAAAGATGTCAGTGCCTCTCAACCCACCTCACATCGTCAGTTGATGCTCTGGCTGACAACCGCTTGTGGAACCAATGAGTGACAAGATTGACGGGGTAAGGGAGCCGGGAGGCAAGACTGAGGAGCGGGAAATGTCAGTGCATGGCTGGAGACAGGGGAGCAGCGTGGAAAGAGGGAGATGAGGAAAGCCAGTAGAGGACAGGATCCTAGAGACATGGCCGCTACTCACCCTGCAGCTTGACCTCGGCGTTGGTGTGATAGAGACCCCCGTGCTGTGCCACAGTGCGGGCAGCCTCCAAGTGGGCTAGCACAACCTCCACGCCGTGTTCTGTGCTGCCCCAGGGTTCAGGGCCCTCGGCGGGGGCCGAGTCACACTCCAGCAGAGTAATGAACGGCAGCACGTGGGGGAAGGTGGTGTTGCTCAGGGGCGGGCTTTCTGTAGAGGGGGCGACGGGCAGTTAGACCTGAAGACCCTGCCGCCCTCTACAATCCCAGAGAGCACCGGTCACCTGGGACAGTGCCCTCTTTCCCTGGTTAGCCCACCCTGGACGTGGACAGGGCGGACATGGCCACCCCACAGGGAAAAGGAAAACAGCCACACTCACACCCTCGCCACCCCAGAAGAGACTCTGGTAAGCCAGAGAAGGCAGAGTCAGAAGGAAGGTACCTTTGCCCTCATTGAGACTTTTGAGGAAAGGCTTGAGCTTCTTCTCATACAGAATGGCACCCTCCGTGTGCCGCTGCCGCAGGGTCACCCACGTCTGTTCCAGCCGCGAGATCTGGGGAGACCGGGCTATGAGACACGGGCTAGGAAAAGACCCTCCAGGAGCAGCTGGTCACAGGCCACTCCACTGACTGAATGGACACCCTGATGTGGGACAATAATTATTTCCCTGGCTGTCACTCATGAAATGGGAAGGGTGCTTTTCATACATCATCCATGAAACCATGGCAACACATTCACAAAACCTAAATCTCAGCTTTGGACTGAGTGACCTCCCCAGCTGCTGCTGTGCCTCTGTAAGATAGGACAACACGGAGTCTCTCTCACGACGGGCTGTGTGGTGCCTCGCCTACAGAAAGCTCCTCAAACCAAAGACACTGTATGTCCTGGTTGTTTGGGAGCAGAGTGTCATGTACTGAATTTCTGGTCCCCCAGTTCCACTTCCCAGTGCCAGGGTTATAAACATGCACCACCATGCCTGGTTTATGCGGTGCAGGCAATCGAATTGTGGTGATGCACTCTAATAACTAAGCTGGAACCTGCTCCCACCGTATGTTCTGTTTTCTCAGGATTTTCTTATTTTATGTGTACGTGTGTGTGCCTTAGTGTATTTTTGTGCCCCATGGGCACTCAAGACTAGAAGGCGGAGTAGGAGGTGTAGGCTGTTGTGTCTTGGAGACTGGGAATGGAAAGACCATGCGCCCTCTAGCAAGAACAGGATGCTCTCTTCGGTGGAGCAATCTCTCCAGCCCGCCCACCAACACACTGTCTGTATATTCTTTAACCTCAGTGTTTGTCATTCGTCTTACAGGTAGGGCAACAGAGGCCCAGAGAAGGGATCTGATGGTAAAACGTGGGAGAACTCTTTTGGGTCTTTCACAAAGGAACCCAGAGACTCAGGAAGCTCTTCTATCCTCTATCCTCCCCCACCCCACCCCCACAGGGGACGCGCCCCGCGGACCCCTCAGTACCTGGGCCATCTCCAGGGCGCCCATGACCGCAGCGAAGCTGAACATGTTGCCCATCGTCCCCCGCAGCTCGGCCGCCAGCTGGATGGTCTTATGCAGCAGAGCTGCCCGCTCCTCTGCGGAGCCCGTGCAGCCCAGGATGTCCACCGCCAGCATGATGGACATGGTATGGAATCTGTGGGAGAGGTCGGGTCAGAGGGGAAGTGACACACGGCGGGGCCAGGTGTAGGTCTTAAAGGGCCGAGGCCGAGAGCAGAGTTAAGGACTAAGGGGCGCAGTCAGAGTGACAGGCAAAGGCGAAGGGAGCCCAACTGGACACTATAAGTCAGGGGCGGGATCGGGATGCCAGGAGGAGGGGCTTGTAGTTGATCGGCGAAATCCGAAGGGCGGAGTTTTAGAATGAACACAGTGGACAGTAACGGTGGGCGGGACCAAGATTGATGGACGTGGGAATGCGAGAAAAGAAGCCGATTGATGAGCTGCTGTCTTTGGAAAATCAGCCTGGCTTTGAGCCGAATACCAAAGGGTTGCGATTGGCTAATGGAATGGGAGGAGTGGTCAGAGCCCTGGGACAGCCGGTAAGGCTGGTGCACACCTTACCTTTCCAGCAGGTCTAGTCTTAGCTGCCGGCCGTGGGGGAGGGTGAGCAGCTCCATGCCCCAGCGGACTCCCATTAGGGTCTGCATCTCCTTGGTTACGCCCAGTATCCTAGCAACCTGCAAAGACGCCCAAAGGGCTGATTAATTTCCTGTCAGAGTTGGTCCAAGCCATCTGGGAGTCAGAGCGTCAACTAAGAGGGTCGCCTGACTGCGAAGCCACTGAGAACACGGAGCAAGTGATTACCCCTTTCCGAATGACCCTCAATTTCCCCATCTGTAAAATGGGGGGATGGGAAAATGTCCAGAGGTATGTGCCATGTTAAATACTCA